ATAAAAATCGTTAGATTACTCTAAAGCAAAATGAGGGAAAATCTGTGTCAGTTACAGACAATCTGTTCACGTGAGCAGCTGTCAGTCAGCACCTGTCAACATCCAGATGCACGAAGGAGCGTGTCTGAACCAATCACTTTTGTTGGCATTGATAAGCTGACTGATTTAAATACATCTTAACATTCATGAGGGACTTTGCATTGACTGTTTATGGTTGAATGTGGGCGTGTAGAGGGTAGAACCTGAGGCGGGACCTTGTGCGCAAACTCTGACGTGCGACTGTGATTTATAAAGGAAAGATGCACAGAAACGTGCGTACGTATGGTTTTATAAATCTGAATTTTATTGGCGTACACCATTTCCGCCTTTTGGCCGTACGTTCACTTTTAGTATGGTTTCCACGCAATCCTTTATAAATGAGACCCCAGGTGATCAACATGGAGACTCTGAGTTAAACCTGAAGTTTTATCTAGGAAGAATTTCATTTCCTCACAGATTAATCACATCTGAATGACAGGAACATTATTTTCTACTAAAAGGTCAAAGAAAAGTGTACAGCTGGGCTAAGATGTAAAAATGTACTCAAAAATAACAAAATAGAAAATTTCCTCTGTACCTGGGCCTTTAACAATTAAATCCTGAAACATCTCAAAATAGTTTGATAATTTTCAGAGATGAGATGAACTGAAGTAAAGCTGAACTGTTGTGACCTACAACGATTTTATGCTGCATCTATTCAGACTTGAAAGTTGGATTTTCCGAGTTACAGGTTGGGAAAAATCATCTGAAGCACCTCCCAAAGCTGGAATTTTCATCCACCCATTAACTTTTACCCACTTCTTCTTTTCAGGGTCACTGGTGCCCACATCCAGCAGTCACTGTGTGAGGAGCAGGGTACACCCTGGACAGGTGGCAAATCTGTCACAGAAGTTGAAATTTTGACTCCGAAAATCTGAGATTTCTGACAAACCCTCGACCTTTAAATCCACTGTGGTTATCTTGCTCATAAGAAGCAGTGATAGCAGCAGTTTCAGACTTTGGATTTTCACTCCAGTCTGTTAATAACTCAGCAGTTCACTCTGAAACACACATTTCTGTCTGAGCACTGTTAGTGAACATGTTGCTACACAGTTTGAATGTTGAGAAATCCACTGCAATTGACTTATAATGGCTAATAATACTTAGCCTGGTTTCTGAGCACAACAGACAGTAAATAATAGAATTCCGGAAATATTTAATGGCTCAGCTTCAGAAGAACACAAATCTATTATTAGTCTGGGATGAACAAAAAAAAACAAATGCAAAATAGGGCTGCACAATATATCGCAAAAATATCATCATTGCAATATCAGTGTGAATATTCACATCACAAAGGACTGCTTGGAGTGCAATAACTGTTGACTGATGAATCTGAAGAATGTTGAAGTTGTATTTTTTTCATGCTAATACAATATTTAGACAGTAGGACAGAGTTTCATGGCAGCAAAAGCACACCAGACCCAAATGACATTGCCAAAGATGCTAAAGGTCACATAGAGTAGGAAGTACAGGTTAGAAGGGGGGGGGGGGGGGCAGAGACATATATATTGCATCTGATATCATCAACACAGTAATTACAAACATCACCACTGCAAGATTTTCTAATATTGTGCAGCCCTAATGCAAAACACTGACAAATCTCACTGTAGCTTTTGTTTCCAACAAAATAAATTCAGAGAAAATGCCAATACAGACATCCAGCAACAAAAGTAAATGAAAAACTGCTGGACTGTTTTTAATCACAAGCTGTTACACGTCTCAAAACCTGAACTGTTGTGTTCCCTTATGACAAAGTAAACGTGTAACCAAATGTCATAAACACATCAAAAAAAAGCTGCACTGAGCAGCGTAGACTGGTGCAGACTTCATGGGTAAAAGAGGGCAAAAATTAATCCAGTGTATTCTCAGCTTCTAGCACCAGTGAACAGAAAACCATTGAACGTAAATTTTATATAAAGTTGCCTTTAAAGAAACCAGATTTTAGTTACTGGTTTGGTAAGTGTTTGAATGCAATAAATACTTCAGTAAATCCAGAGTGACAGTGAGCACCTCTGTTCCGTCGCTCTTTTGGACAGAGAAAACCTCGCTCCACAGCTGGATGCCCGTTGTCTCCGGTTCTGAACCACCTCTCCAAGAGAACCCGGTCAGCTCCTCTTCATCCTGACCCAGCCAGTTCTCATCACCCTGAAGAAGCACAAAGTACACAATAAAACACAAACCAGGGGCAGACTGGTGGCTGACTGAGGTTTTCTGACAGAACTTCGGCTCCAAGATATAAAAGACGTCTCGTCATGTAAATGGACTGCTCCGCTGTTTTGCATAATTTACAACACAGCGAGTAGTTTTCTAAGAGCCCAGAGCTTTCACGTCAGAGCTACCATCTCACTTATTGTCCTGTTTTACTCAACTGGTCAAAAGATTTAATGGAAGTCATAATTTAATTCTTGACGTTGGAGTTACAGGAAATGTTTTAATGGAGTTAAAAAAAAAACAATCAATAAAAATCACTGAGTACTGTGAATGTAATCTCAGGCATGAAGTGAAGACATTTACAGACTCCACTTCTTTGGACTGGGTTTTCACTGAACGAGTCTGTTCACATGTTATAGCAGGGACTGGCATTCACGTTGCATGACTGGATTCATGTTTTTGTTCTGGGCCAACCGTGGTCAAAGCCTTCAGAAGAAAAGTTCCTGAAGGTGACGCCCTAAAACTCAGTTCTTAAAAATAAAAACAAGAAATGTACTGTCCCTTGGCTTCTCACCTTCCTGTGCATGTAACGGATCATGAAATCGAGGAGGAAGCTTTTCCCCTTCCTGAATGCTCCGGCCACCGACAGCACCACCACATGTTTCTCACGGACCTCTGGAGCCAACAGAATCTGAGCCAAAGCCTCGGTGTTCAACGTGAAGGAGTGATTATCCTTAGACACCTCAACAATCTGAACTGGGCCTGGCTCAATCCCCATTCTGCAGAAGTACACGTCCCTGTGACAGCAAAAGAAAAGAAAAAAAAACATATATAATATACAGTATATACTTGGCACAAAAAGTAAGGACATTTGTGTTTGGTAGATAATGTATTTGTCGTAACAATGTTTCTTGGCAATAAATCTTATAGCGGGCAGCTGTTTGGCAGCACCTAGGGGGACCAGAAACTCAAAACAAGCATTAATAGCAACAGCAAAATAAGCTGTTTTGCGTAGAAGATTTGGCAATTTTTTTTCATATGCACAATCCACATTCTCAGCTCTACTGCTCATCCCACAGATGCATGTTCCTTACAAATGTGGCACCATTTAAAAAGGTAGATTTATTACCAAGAAACATTGTTACAACAAAGAAATAATATATCAAGCACAAATTTCATTACTTTTTTGTGCTAAGCTTGTAATAGTTTTTTTTACTGTCACACAGTGAATTATCATGTCCAACCAGGACTCTAGGATGTCTCCCAGATGAGATCAGAAAGATATCCCTGCAACCCAACTCCAAACCAAGCATCAGATGAGGGATAGGGGCAGAAGTATAACCGGTTAAACTGAAAGCTGCGGACATTTTATCTGAGCTGCTTGAAGACATAAAATATGAATGGTACTCAGAGACATTTACTTGTTGAAAACCAGTTTAGCCTGTGGCTGCAGAATCCTTCCATCAGAGACAATGTTCATCTCTGTGAGGCTGCTCTTATCATGTCATGCTCCTCTGCCTGCAGCTATAAGGATTCAACACGCACTCCAATAATGTGACACTTTCAGACGCTCTAAACAGATCTCAATCTAGATTATTTCTGTGGATTAGCATGTTCCTCTATGGTACCTAGTACAACAAGACCAGACGTTAATGAGTCATAAGAGCTCACTCCCCGTTTTCAGTAAAACTCAGCACCTAAAGGTGTGGCGCCGAGGAGCAGCAACGTGCCTGCCATTACTCTGCTGTGAATGTACCGAAAAGCCTTCATAAATATGCAGCTGAGACATACTGTTATGACAAGTTTGACGGTGAGAAAACAACTACAGTCTCGCTTCAGTAAAAACGACCGAACTGCGCAAACTCAACTGTCCAAACAGGAGTTTGCGACAGAAAAGTTAAAAAAGAAACAATCTTAAAGTGGAGGTCTTTGATAATAACAGAGCCAGCTTACACTGTAGGTCGTTTCAAACGGCCTGTGCGTCTAAACAAAAAACAAAGAGCTAACGCATTTTGTCGTTAAGAAGATTTGAGTTGGGAGAAGACGAAGAAGAAAAAAAAATACAACGTGCAATTCTAAAACCGTTACCAAAGCAAACTTACCTGCTAGCTTAAGCTTTAGCTGCACTTTCACGATGTAGCGTTGTCTTTGGGTCCGTTAAAAAGCTACGCTACAGTCTCATAAGAGCCGAGAAAATACAAACTTTTCACACGGGCGAGAAAAAAAAAATAATGGAACTTTTTTTTTTCCACCACGAATCCGCAAACTTCCGCCTTCACCCTGAGAGATGCACCACGGGAAATGTTGTTTTTCGAATGTTCGTCTTCCTTTGCGCGAGTTCGTCAGCAAACTACAAGCCCCAGTTGGACCGATTGTAGTTTTTAAATGAAGTGACGAATGCGGAACCACTGAGGAGGTAATGTAAAACAGGAGCTTGTGTAGTTTTGCCTTTATACAAATGATACTTGAAAAGAAAAGCGACACTGGTGAAACACACATTGCTGCTTAGCAAACAAGGCTTTGTTTGAAGAAAGGTTTCCTGTGGTTATAGCTCCCTCCAGCTGTGTCTATATGAACAACAATTTAATATATTCTCAGCAGATAAACAAATACAAGAAAAGAGAAAATCCATTTCAGAAAAACAAGTTTTTAATTGATAAGAACAGCATCCCAGTTTGTATGTCAGATTAAAAAACTAAAACTAAGGAAAAGCAAACAATAATATCTCAACATGTAAAACTGTTAATGGCAGTGAGTTAGTCAAACTTAGAATCAAATGTATTTTTAAGATGTCACTTACATCAGATATTTACAGTTATTCAGAAAACCTAAAATCTAGAATTACAAAACATATTAACATAATAAATAAAATCACCTACACCAAACATAATCAGAACGAAAGAGTAGATATGGTACAAAATAACAAACAACAAAAACTAGAAGTGCTTCTATGTCCTACTTACTTACTATAATTCTAATAACACAATTAATGAAATATCTTGCAAGTGCTCATCTATTTTTAGAAACACAGATTTTAAGAAAAGGCCACAGAAATAAATTCATAAAACGAAACAAAAACAGTTAGTAACATATGTACCGTAATAACATTTGAGACGTGGGACAATTTGCTAAATATTTTCCACATATTTCATAGTATTTTCAATGGTATACATACCATTGGAAATAGCATCAAACCTTTATTAAATAACCTTGCAATTGAGAAACTTAATTTAGAAACAGAACATCTATTAGAACTGGAAGCACTCCCTACTCCCCTGAGAACAAGTTAATCACCAAGGGCTGGTTCCATCTGTGCATTTAAAGTGCATTAATACATGTGGAGTAATGCTATCCACAGATTTTACATCAGTCCATCTATAGATTTATACTGATGTCTAAAAACACATTAATACATATAATAAAGGGCAGTGACAACATCTGAACCATTATAAATCAAAGTTTGTATGAATTTATTGAACCATTTCCCTCTCAATGACTGAAGAACTCTCTTTGCTTTGGGTTGTAAATTGGGATACGAGTTAATATCCACCTCCTGCCAAGTCCAGGAGTGACCCGGCAGCTTCCTGAGCCTCAACATCAAGCTGCAGGATCTCCACAGTCTCCAGGTCCAGCTCGGTGTCGTCCGGCAGCACCAGGTACTGGTACTGGTCGGACTGGTAATAGTGTAACTCGATGTAGCCGCTGTCGGACAGCGGGTCTTTCTCCGTGTCTTCACCAACCTCGTTCTGCGGGTATTCGGTCAACTCCATGGTGACCAGTTCCTCGTGGTCCGGGGTCAAAGGGCACGGTGTGTTTTCAGAGAAGTCTGGATTATTAGAGGTCAGGATGTGTGAAGAGGAGGAGGAGAGGAGGATGGAGTGAGACAGAGGATCTGCAAGAGAGGGCAAGAAGCACAACAATTATAACAAGCAGCTTAAAGTACCTGAGACATGCCTGTCCTTTAAATACAAAAACTCCTAGAAAACATCTTTATACTATAATACACATGATTTAAGCCATTTTGTCACATAACTGGTCTATTTGTATTTGAATATGGTTCAGCCAAAGTGAAACAGGAAGTGACATCAAAGGAGAACTCTTTAATAAAATAAACTCTCTAGTCTTTGTTTATTAAAACAATATTATTTAAACTGTAACTCTTCTTCATCTCTCTTTGATAGAAACTCAAAATAATCTAAAGAAGCATCAGATTCTTCTCTACAGTCTGGGTTATCAGCTGTTGTAGCAATGCTCTGTTCACATGCAGACATTCCCCTTTGACATCACTTCCTGTTTCTTCACGTGCAAATATCTCAGCAGCTGTTCATCTCAGTGGGGTGAAATTTGTTTTGTAATATGTTAATAATGCTATCTTTCCAAAAACGCATTCATGTTTATTACAGAAACTGAACGTCACAGGCACTTTAATAACAAACATTAATAATAATAATAATAACTTGTTTACATGCAGGGGGATAGAACAGACTTAAACATGCATGTTGGGGTTTGGAGCGCAGGTTTGGACATAAAACGAGGGGCCGAGCCAGGCTGTTGCTCCGTTACCATGGTAATGGAGGGCAGTTGCCATGCCAACAGTACACAAACACAGGAACAATGCTGCATGTCCAAAAAAAAAAGCTAGAGAGGAGAATGCTGAAGGTAATAAAAATGCCTAAGAGAGACAAGGAAAGAGACACATTCAGGGTCAAACGTTTCTGGTCTGGTTTGAGGACTGACCTGAGAAATCCATGGAGTCGCACACTTCAGGCGCCTTGCAGGCAGCTCCTAAACTGTACACACAACAAGACAGCTTCTTGTACTGAGCGTGCTTTATTGTTTTTATAAATGTTAATGCAGTTACTCAGTTACTGCTTCACAGGCGTAGTTCAGTGCAGTTAACTTATTTTTACATTAACAAAATATTCATTTATTGTAGACTTTTTGGCAAAAATGAGTTTTCAGTAAACTCTTCCTTTCGGTATTAGTTTACTTTTAAAGTGCCTGTGACATGCCTATCCATCAAATACAAAAATAGGGCTGGGCGATATGGCTCATAAAAAAAGAAAATCTCAGATTTTTTTCATCCCAAATTCTATTTTCGATTTTAATCGATTGTTTCCCACTTAACGGAGTGCCTCTGTTTCAGGTGTTGAAACAAATGTTTTGTACTCCTGCTTTTTTGAAGAGCCTTCAAACAGATTTTGTAGTGAGGTGTTTGTTGCTCCAAGTCCGAGGTTGCAAAACTTAACCAGTTCCAGATCACTGAAGAAACTGCCTTTTTTGAGAAGTAGATCCTCTCTGCTAGCTGCCATATTGTCATGTCATGTGTCTTGAGGGACAGGTGGGGTGACCTCTGAACCACAGAAGCCCAAAGAGTACACTGGTGGGAAAAAAAAATCCAGATTTTCCCAAAATTCAATCTTTATAAATGGCAAATTCGAATTAATCGATTAAATGGATTCATCGCCCAACCATAACAAAAAATCAAGAAAACACAATTTTATATAAGAAACCTTGCATAAAACATGTGATTTTACCCATTTTGTCACATGAATGGCATTATTTTCTTTTGAACTTGGCTCAGCCAAAGTGAAACAGGAAGTGACATCAAAGGGGAACTCTTTAAGAAAGAGAACTCTGTAATCTTTGTTTATTGAAAAAATATTATTTGAACTCTGACTCATCTTCATCTATCTCTAGTGACTCAAAATAATCTAAAGAAACATCAGATTCTTCTCTACAGTCTGTGTCGTTAGCTTTTTTTTTTTATCAATGCTTTGTTCCATGCAGGCATTCCCCTTTGATGTCACTTCCTGTTCCTTCACATGCAAATATCTCAACAACTGTTCATCTCAGCAGCAGGAAATTATTTTTGCAATATGCTAATAATGTTATCTTTCCAATAATGCCTTTATATTTATTTTAAAATATTCATGTCACAGGCACTTTAAAGGGCAGCTTCACAATTTAACATTTCAAAGTTTACTATTTTTGCATCCACTTTCTTGACAAGAACTCAATTCTTTACTGTGTTCTGAGTTTAAATAATATTTTTTAAATTAATTTATAGTAAATAAAACAGGCTGGTGCGTGATTGTACTCACAGTGCGGGCTTGTTGATCAGATTACTGTTGGTGCTGTGAAAACTGTGAGTTTTCCTCAGCATCTCCAGGAGCGCCGGTCGATACTCCGGACACACACACCACAGCGACCCCTTCCCCACTGACTGCAACCAACACACAAATCCACCCGTTACAGTGAAATAACACTGACACGATCAGAAAAAACTTGAAACATAGATAACAGCTGGCCCTACAGGGAGGCCTAGCTGCTGCTTTAATAAATCATCTGGTTTATTGTGTTGCTTGTTGCTCAGTAGTTTAGATTCCCACCTGCTTCTTGTCTCTCTCAATGCGGCGGAAGCTCTTGCTCAGGGACAGGTTGTGTCTCACGGAGTTCCTCCAACCACTTGTAGCTGTTCTGTAGTAGGGAAAGTTATTCACTATCCAGTCGTAGATCTCCTTCACAGGAAGCCTTTTGCACGGGGAATCTTCTATTGCCATGAAAATCAAACTGCTGAAGGAATACGGAGGTTTGGAGGATGCGGGAGAAGGAAGAGGCTGTGCAGGTGTGCAGGACTCCTGCTGTGGCGTCAGAGTCATTTTAGTGAGAGGCTGCAGAGGAAGGAGGTTACCTCTCTGATGCAGCCAGCTGAGGCAGGTCAGGTCATTCTGGTCAGATAAACTTTCCTGCCCGACGCTTTGTCCCTCGAGGCAATGAGACGCAGCGCCGTGTGAAAGAGGAGAGGACGAGTGGGGAAACTCTGCTGTCGCTGGAGAAAGTGAGACCGGGGACGGGGGGAAGGAGATGGGTGAAAGAGGCAGCGTAACTCTTGAGGAGGTCTGCCGGGGCGAGGAGGAGGAGGAGGGCAGGGACACTTTGAGAGTGGTGGGATGCGAGGAGAAGGATGGCAGTGTGTGGCAACTATCTTCCATCTCTGTCAGGAGGAACACGTCAAGCTCATCCAGGAGTGCAGCTGCTGCAAGATACTGGCAGGAAATATAGCAAATTAGTATCTACATGTTGTTATTGCTGTTATATTGCAAATTTGATTGAAGCAGGGGTAAAATGAGTTCATAAATAAAAGAAAGTCAGTCAAATAACCTTAATTGTTGCCCACACCTGACTCGGGGACCTGACAAAACACAAACATCTTTTTTAACACAGTAATTTTGACATATGAGCTAAAATTTGCTGTAGAATTAGTGGAGACTGATCCGGAAAATATATTAGAGCTCTAACTGATTATTGTGCTTAAAACTTTGTCCTATTGGAATCAAGTATCTCACAAAACACTGGATGGTAGTAGCTGAACATCATCCTCCACACATACTTTGATGATCCTATGAAATGATCTTAAGTCTAAAACAGTGACACAGAAGACAGCAGGCAGAATTTAAACTCAAACAGGGGTCCACAATTACAATAATGTGTAATTTTGTTTTTAAATGCCCAATGCATATGAGGAACAATGTGCCAGTAAAACAAACATACTAAACCAAACTAAAATAACAACCATTCCTATGGCATTTAGGGGGTTTAAATGGCTGTCAGTTGTTTTTAAATCAGCATGAGGTTTAAGAGGGAGTCCCTGGAAATGTTTCACCCAGATCTGCTTTAAGGAATGGCAGGCCTTCAGTTTGGTAAGAAGTAAACAGTTTTAGCATTAGCAAATGTTTAAACTGTTTAAGCTACATAAAATAGCTAACATGTGCGGTGACAAGTTCATTCAACTTGAAATATCTAGCATAAGGAAAAAATAATAATCTCCATTTTAGGCTAGTTACAGGTTTGTTAGTCGTTCCAGTCTAAAGAGCATCATTTCTGTCCAAAGTCCAGAACTATTTCCATCTTGCTATCTTGAATGTGTTCAGCGAACAGGTGCAAAATGTCTTTTAAATCGGTTATAATCTTGAAACTTGTACTGCCTGAGATAGAATACTGACTTTTGATAAACCACGGCTAACGATGAAGACAGTCTGAGCGTGCTGCCACATGGCTCCACAAAACAATCATATCATGGCAGTAAAATGGTGGAACAATATAAAGTTTCATAAAGCCGCCTTTCTTCTCTCCCCCATCAGTAACCCACTACAACCAGCCGCTGACGGCTTTAGCTTATAAAATATTTAAGTGGATACTCACCGGTTTCCCAAAAAGGTAACTCCAGTGAAAACTAGCTCAACTTAAATGTCCGGAACAGGTCACTGAAAAGTGAAAGACATTGGAAAAGTCAAGTTTCATTCGGACACTCTCTCTCTCTCTCCGGAGGCCCTCGCTGTTGCTGTCGGCGGTTTCCATGGAAATCGAAAGGACGCTCCGCAAGGGTGCGCGCGCTCTCCCGAAACGGCCAGGACACGCGCATTGTTGTAAATCACTATGTATT